TACCTTCCCGGACCATCAGGGGCAGAAATGCTTTGTCATATGTCCTCTCATCAAGCTTCACTTCACACCAGTAATACCCAGAATCCCCCTCCTGCAGGTGTCTCATGTTCACATGAAACACCATTTGGTCACGGTTTTCAAAGATTGACACTTTCCCTCCAACCTGGTTCTTGTCTGATTGTGCTGTTCTGGAGCAGGAATCCCATTTATCTCCTCTACACCAGGATTTCACTAGAGGTTTATAATATTCATTATAGTAACATGGGATGGTGACAGATCCTCCTCTCTCTGCAGTTATCCAGCTCACGGTCCTCACACTCCTAACCTCTATTGGGACAATTCATGTAAGATGGAGCATTAAAAACATAATATAACAGAGCCTGACAGGTCACATATGGGGATTATGGCAGCAGCAGTGAGTGAGTGAATGAATGGAGGGAAGGAGACATATTCACACAGACATATACAGGCATTGCAGAGCCCAGCCTGACAGGGCAGGGACAGCAAAGTCCTGATGCATTATTAAACTGCACATAAATTACCATTTTTATTCCAAGGTACAAAGGGCCGTCAGAGCTTATATTAACAGGAAACAGGTGTTTAGACATGGAAAAGAGATGTTTACACTATTTATGACCAGTTTCCTGACACATAACAAATGATTCATTCTGTAACATCAATTTAATCAGTTAGGACACAGTAGGAAAAATAGCTCTTTCATTAACTTTTGGACAGTCCTGCTTTCAACTGAATGTAGAAGAGAAATTACAGAAAAGGCAAAAGAAGATGATTTCAGACCTGAGTGTTTAATGGAGAATAATCAGATGTGATTTTGAGAATCAGTATTTGAGAGATGCTGGGAAAGAGTGAAAGATATATAGAGGAAATAATGAACCACCTCAGCCATCAAAATTTTCATGAAAGTGCTACCAATGAGAGAGCTGTTCATAAGAAAAGGATCGAACAACTTACCTGTAGAAACCAACAGCTCCAGTTTCCCAGAGGAATCCTCAGATCTTCTGCATCCATCACCCACACAACACCAATAAGAGCCAGAATCCATGTGCTGCAGGTTCCTCATGGTCACAATGAAGAGAAAGTTCTGGGGATCATCAGTGATGAACACTCTGTTCATGGCCGGTAGGGAGTCACTGCGTGTCTCTGAGCTGCAGGATGACGTGTCTTTACCTTTACACCAGGATTTCACACCTTCTCTGTGCTCCTCACCATAGAAACACGGGATGCTGATGGATCCTCCTGCTTGTGCTGATAATTTATCAAAAGTTTTCACTTTGGAACTTCCTACAGGGTTGATAACTAGAAGAAATCAGAGATAGTCAGTCATAAAATGTCATTTAATCTGGACCCAAAGTCACACCACTTCCCAGCCTACTTCTTGCCAGCGTTGGGTCCCCGGAGAATAAAATGGAGGAGATCTGACTCTCTACACAGTGAAAGGCTGTACCCTGGTCTGCACTCAGTCCGGATCCACCAGATAATCACGGATATCACCACAGAGCGAGACAGCTGCAGTGGTCCCCAGCTGCAGGCTGACAGCCACTGCCCCACTGCCTCACTGCCTTGTGGGCTGTCTGGGATGAACAAAGGCTAAGGGGAAACCCTGAGAGGAAAATGAGGTGGGGGCAGCACATGCAGGCGGACCTCGACAGACCGAGTAACCGGCGGCCGTCTGCAGCTAGGGAAGGCTGCCTGTCATCTTGGGCCAACCTCTTTGCACTGGAAATGGGCCCCTCTCAGCCATGAGGTGCTACTGGGGAATGCACACCCCCTGTGGCTCTCTAAGAAATCTCACTCTGCTGGTCACCACTTTTTACCCTGGTGATAAACATCTGGAGC